CTTAAAATCTTTTAATCTACAATTAAAATAACATATAATACAAATTATCAATGCATATTATTACTTTTTTTTTCATGTTTCCAAGATACTTTTGACACTTTTAACTCATGTCTTCACCCTCTTATACTTCTATGTCTTCTCCTCATCCCTCAAGGTGAGATAAAAATTGATATTCACCATAAGTTATTAAAAGTTCTTTCATTCAATTGCTCTAGAACTCTCTGTCTTCCTCTCGATCTCTTGATTCTTTGCTCTTGGTGTAAATCAAATACATTTGTAGAGTCGTTTAAATATGTTGGATTTTAAATATATTGGATTTTAAAGTGTCATACAATTTTTTTCATTGATAGACTATAATTGGAATCATAACTCTTATTTATTCAAATTGTATTTATATATAAAGACCAAGTGTAACTTATATTATCGTTAAATATTCTCTAATAAAACCAGTGAAATTTCAAAATCGTTAAAATTCATGGCTCCCGCCGCATTGCGCGGTACACAACTAGTGTGGATACATGCACGAATTATATATATATATATATATATATAGAGAGAGAGAGAGAGAGAGAGAGAGGTGAGTTACTATGCAATCTTTTACATTTGTATAACAAGTACAACTCAATCTCAACCGTCCATTTAATTTGATAAATATGTAATTTCATAAAAGTTTTGATTGTTTCCTAATATAAAGTATTGATCATAATTAATGAATTTTAGTCATCTTTCATAAATATTTAAATCATAATAAATGAGCTCTCATCATTTTCATAAATATTTTAATTAATTAGTTAATATTGATTGTACAAATATACTAGATTGCATTTAAAACGTTATCTCTCTCTCTCTCTCTATATATACTTAAAAATCATATGTATAAAATAATTATTTAATATAAATTAAAATAATAATATATAAAGGGATAATATGTATATATGTATATTAATATACAAAATAAAAATAATAATGATAAAATATATAATTTTAATTGATTGATTTCGATATTTTATATTTTTAATAATGATTTAATTTCCAAAGTATTTAACACCATTTCAAGAAGGTGTTATTAGCACTCTCCTTTTAAATTCCTCTAAATTCGACAAAATCTGATAAACTAGAATTTTACGTTTTGGAAATTATAGTATATTGAAACAGGTTTTTTAGTAGATTAAAAATTACATCCCTAGATTATTTCCAATCCTACGGTTTTATTATTTCGTATATAATATTTTTACATGGTTTATTCAAAACAAAGTATTGAATATTTTAATAACTATTTTATATATTACAAAATTAATTATATTACTAAAATAATTCAATACATTTAATAAACTATTATTTTTCTATCTTAAACATTTAATTGATTGTCTATTATTAGAAGGAAATAATTAAAATATTATTTTTCTCTATTAAATATTGAGCTGTATTTTATTATTTTTTCAATTTTAGAGAGTTTCACTTTCTCTATCTTATTTTCTCTAATTTAAAAGAATTTTTAACTTAATTGTTGAAGTAAAAAAAAATCTCATAAACTTGGCAAAAAGTAGGGTAGAAAATTACTCAAATTTGGGAAATAGTTAAAATTTAAACTCTGTTTATCAAATGCTTACTTGGGTAAATGTTTACCAAGTTATATTATATTATAAATGAACATGACAAGGACAAAAAATCTTACCCGGTAAGAACGAGGTAAGGACCGAGAGTCTTACCCGGTAAGTGAGAGCAATGACTCTTACCACGGTCAGCTCTTACTGGGTAAATTGTTGCATAAAAAACCGTTTTTGTTGACTAAAATCTTACCCGGTAAATAAATAATAGTATTGAATTTTTCCGGCAAGTGCTTACCGGGTAAATGTTTGGTAAACAACCCCTTAATATTGTGTAGAGAAATAGTATTTTAATTTTTTTACATATGAGAAAAAAAAATTATAAAGTTATTTCAAAGTGTAATGTGATGATGAAGTTATAAGACATTTTAAAATATGATCAATACTGAAATTGCTAAAATAGTGTTAAGTGTTGGAGTTTGATACAATTTCTTTTAGTGATTTTGATTTTTGATGCTCTGTTAGTACATTCTAATTTTCTTTTCTATTTTAGAGCTTCTCCAACAACTAAGTTGTAATATTGACCTTAATGTCTAATAGATAGTTCGTCCCATACCTATAATACCGCTAAAATTTGGAAGTAGCAGTTACTTTAAACCTCAGTAAAAATCGGTCATGCACAAAATAAATGTATCTACCGAAAATGGGTACCACTCTTTACAAGATTGCACAAAAATCAAAGTTAAGTATCAGAGTACTATAGACTTCTATCTAAATTTTAATAGAACTATATTTAAGTCAGGGGTTACATCAACCACCAAAGTTTGTTATGTTAATAATATGAAAGTTCCCCAAATATGATATACCACTTGTGCCTCTAAATGACACTTCAAGCTCTAGCTCACTGACCTTGGACTCGTTGTTACTATGCCCTGCTAAAAATGTCAGTAAAAAAAAAGTGTTAGGATGACGTTTAGCATGACGATAAATAGAGACTACAATCTTCATGTATGGGACATTTATAATCACTAAAAGGGTACTCGCGTAATGCAGCGATATATACATCTCGACTTTAATGTTTCGTTTCTTTCTTCGATATTATAATACAGTTTTATGTGGGTTTAAAAAAATGATAATGTTTTTACTTTTGTATAAGATATAAATGTGAAGATATCATAAGGATTTGATAAAAAAAATATATTGATATTAATATCAAACTAACTATTTAAAATTTCTAATTTTTTTGTGTAATTTTTTTAATTTAATTTTTCTTATTATAATTTGATTTAGGTTTATGAAATATTAACGAAGTAATTTAATTTAAGTTTAATGATATAATTTTTTATAAAGATAATAATTAAGTAAGATATCATAAGAATTTGAATAAAAAAAATATATTGATATTAATATCAAACTAACTATTTAAAATTTCTAATTTTTTTGTGTAATTTTTTTAATTTAATTTTTCTTATTATAATTTGATTTAGGTTTAATAACGAAGTAATTTAATTTAAATTTAATGATTTTTTTATAAAGATAATAATTAAGTATTCTGTTAAAACTCAATAATTATCCTAATTTTATTTTAGATATTTTATATTTAAAATGAGATGTTTATCCTGTATTAGATTATGTTTATCTGTAGTTAATTACACGAATTCAAACATAGAGTTTTAATAAGTTGTACTTACGCACAATTTATTTGTAATCTTGAATTTTAAGTATTATGCAGCAATAAACAGTACTTTATACATAAAAACTGGATTTTAAGAGTTTTGTCAAATGCTTTATAATATAGTATAGATTTACTTTAAAATGGGAGTAATTATAAATGAGGGACCATAGTCCATTATAAAACATTTCATTAATAAAGTAGAGTAACAATCAATATATCTTGTAACAATGGGGGAGACCCGA